TGTTCAAGAGTCTGTATAGTAGTGGAAGTACCAAATTTGAGATTTAATTATTTAAATAATACATAAAATTATATAAAAAATTATATTAAAAAATTATATTTAAATTATTTTAAAATTTTTAATGTAAGAACAAAAAAAGATCAAATTTTTAAACTTTGAGAATCAAATTAGGAAGTTTTTAAATTTAGGAACTTGTTCAAGAGTCTGTATAGTAGTGGAAGTACCAAATTTGAGATTTAACCTTTAAAATAAAAGGATAAAGATTTTTACTATACTTGGTCTGGTTTAGAACATGAACCGTCACGTGGCAAGAAACTTCCTTAAAAAGACATACCTTTTCATCTCTATAAATATAAAACAATTCTTTCCTTTCTTTTGCTTGCACCCAAAGGAACCCAAAACCGGAGTACTCCTCCCTTCGCCTCTACGAACGTCATTCTCTCTGCCATTTCTCGTTTCTCCGGCAACCACCATTTTATGTTGTTTTTCTTTTCCTTTTTTTTTTTTTTTTCAAATGCTTCTCTACGCAGGTGGCTGATAAAAAAACTACACCGACTCTACTCTTCATATTTTTTACGTTGTAGTGTTTTTAATGCAATTTTGTCTGAATTCCTTGTTTTCTCCTAAGAAAAGAAATTCTATATATGAAGTTTTCTTAATTTCTTTTCTAGTTTTAACGAATCGCTATTACGATATGGAATTCAATTAATTTTTATAAATTTGTTCACTTATTTACTTCTTCCCCTGTTTTTTTCTTTTTTTTTTTTTCTGTTTTATATAATTTTGTATTTGGAAATTTTATGTCTGCATTTAAAGCTCAAATTATTTACTTGATTTGATTTTGTAATGCAGGTTAGGTTGCGTATAATTCTGCAGAAGTACTAATGGGTCGTTTGAATTTTCTTCTACATCTGTTGATTCTGATTTCGGTTTTGCAAACTTGCCTCTGCTGGCAACCATGGGGATGGATGCCGTTTTCCAGCAAGACCCAACCGGAAAATAAGCCTGTACAAGGTTGGGAGATTGAGGAACATTTTTCTGCTGAATTCTCCCTGAGAGCTGCCGACTATAGGGAGGGAATTCAAGTGGTGGAAAACACAAGGTTGAAATTAAGGAACTCGAATTCGTGTTGGCAGAAGGCTTATGAACAGATATTTTCCGCCTGCTCTGAGATCATTAGCGAGGACAACGAGAGACGACAAAGGTTTGCTTGGGATCTCAGCAATTGCTTCCAGAATGATTCTGGTCGACCCCTTTTCCCCCACTGTCACCAGAATTCTCCAATGAGAAAATGTCTGGCAAAGTTGGATGATATCTCTCATCAGACATACCTCAAATTCTTTCTTGAAACCAGTTCAATCTGTTATCAGCTGCAGTAAGTTTTACAATCTCCTTTTTCTCCAATTTCTGTTCTTGTGTCTTTTCTTTTCTTTGATTTTTTATGCCATTTGAATTTGTTTTGGTTGCAGGGCGGCAGCATTTCGGTGTCAGACGGAGCAATTGGTGAATGATTTGAAAAACACAGCACATTTTACAGAGGAGAAACTGGAGAACTTAGAGAAGAAATCTGATGAAATGTTGAAGAATTCGGATGATATCCTTGAATCTATTAACATGGTTGATCAACAGACACGGGAAGTTTCTGAAACTACGAGGCAAGTCTCCAATCACCTGGCTGTTGTAGAGGAGCATTCGCGGGCAGTTTTCGAGCAATCCCAACAAATTGCAGTCTTTCAAACAGAATTGAAAGCAGGGCAAGAGAAGATGAAAAGCAATTTGGAAGAAGGGATGGCTAGTCTTCATGAATCTTACAATAACTTGGGTGAGAAAATCAATGACATAAAAACTGAGACTGTAAAAGTAGAGCAGAAGATAAGTGAAGTTGGGAATGCAGTGTCGGACAAGATGACGACTTTGGAGACCAAAGCTGATGATATTGGGAGAATGGCTGGGATTTCCTTAAATAATCAACAGCAACTTCTAGATTACCAGAACCTTGCTCTTAGAGATCTGCAATCACTAACTGAATCTCAATCCGAAGCATTAAGAGAAAGCAGGTAAATCTTATTCTACTTTATAATTTTGTTTATCTGTACACAAAATCATCACCTTTTCCTAACCTTTGCAGGACTTCCCTGCAAGAGTTATTTGAGTTTGTTCATCAGCAACGAGAAATGGTTCTTCAGCGGCAAGATCAGCTGAAAAGATCCCATGAAGATCTGGGCCAAAGTTTGAAGTCAATGTTAGAAGCTCAGGTTCTTATTTTCTGTAATATTTGATTATACTAATATTTATGTAACTTAAAGATTGGTTACTAATTTCATTCATTTTACAGTGGATTTTCATTCTAGTTTAACGAAATTTAATCCCATTTCAGGATGCTTTTGCAGCGAAGCAAGCACACATGTTTGTTGTTCTAGATAAGCTCTTCAGCCTGCACAATGCCATGTTGGTTGAATCAAGGATTATAAAAGCTTTTTTCATTTACTGCATATCAATGTTTGTGGTGTACCTTTTCACCAGCACAAAGCAAACATATACTGTTAGGCCTAGGCTCTATATAGGTATGTCAATCTTTATTTCTTCTTTTTCTCTTACAAAACCATGCCTAAACTGTTGAATATTACATTCTGATTTTTCACAGGCTTAAGCGCTTCATTCCTGACTGAAATTGTCATAGTCCGTTTCATAACAAATGATGTCGAACAACAGACAATGATTATTAATCTAGTTAGGTCACTTTATGCGGTTCTTGCATTGGTTCAACTTCTATACACCATCAGTACATACAGGTATTTATGCCAAGCATTATATTTGTGTATCAGTGTTTTGTGAAAATATTCATTAGACATCGATTAATGTATCTAAAAATTCATATTTTCCAGGGACTATGAACTTTTGAACCATCAAATGCTGCTAACACTAATGGAAAAGGTGAATGGCATTGAGAAAAATTCAGAGTTGATGTATGATACAGATAGCGACATGGAGTGGTCTTCTTGGGTTGATACTGATCTCCCGGACGATGTGAACAATCTTGATGATCCTGATTATACGCTTCCTGAAGAGATTGGGGAGAACTCGCTTGCAATTTTACCGTCAAGAACGTATGATCTCCGCCGTCGCCGTTGATGTTGGAGTTCTTTGTCTCTCCAATTTCCCCGTCTTTAAATTTTTCATTGTTGGTCACTTTATGTATTTTATCATGTGTTACTGTATTAGTCTGTATAGATTTGAGGTGTTAGCAGTTGCTAAAATTGAGTTAATACCGAAGCACTGGATACAAATCTTTTCATTTTCACTTCATATTTCCCTCTTTTTTTTTTTATTATTTTTTTCTGAACACGGTATTGTCCTAAATAAGCCCATTAACCAATCGTTAAATGTACCTATTAGACATAAAGGGCCACAAACAGAATTTCAAACCCAATATGAAAGATCCATAAGTTTTTGTCCATTGTTGTCTTGTTACAAGCTTTAAGTTGCTTGATACCAAGGCCTCCTTTCCTACCCAAGGATATTAAAGTGTTGCCTACCCTCTCCTTGAGTCACCTATCTACGTGAATTCTTGTAAGAACTCTCTGTGGACTTCATGACTCTTCCTAGCAAGATAAAACATTGCACAAGATGTATGCAATTGAAATAGTGCAGCTTGCACCGGCTGCACGTTTCCTGCAAATGACAGCAGCTTAGCCCACAATTCAATTCTGCGATGGATTCTATCCAGAATTGGCAGACAATCTACCAAAGATATATTAGAAGAAACGAGGGATGCTCCCAAGTATCTAACTGGAATTTGTCCTTCTGTACGTGAAACCAAGTCTTTCAATGATTCTTGCTTGAGTTCCAACTTATATTTAAAAACAAAAATCCCAATTCAAAATTCAAAAATTCATCATATTAAATATTGATACTTAAATTTAAAAATTGATTATATTGATTATATAGAATATAATCAATTTTTAAATTTAAATATCAATATCTACTTAGATGGACATTTAAATTTTAAATTAAGTTTTAATTAAATAAATGACGTAGTTTAAAATTAGGAAAATGATCTCTACACATTCGGTTGAATATATTTTCTGACATACTTTCGATTCAACCATTAAAACTATAATATAAATGTAGTTGATTCAATCAATTTTTATATCTTGTATGCATGATTGTATTTTTAAACTTATTTGTTTTGTATTTCAGACTAAGAAAGAATGATTTTTTAACGCGTGTATATCAATCATTGTCCTTAAAATTATGACTCTAATTTATTTTAGGAGTTGGGATTAATATGCATTTTTCCCTATATATATTTATATATAAAGTAGGAATTTATTCACATAAAAGTTTTACATATTACATTTATACAAAATTTCAACAATTTATCTCTTTACTTTTAATGGTTGAGATTTGCCATGATTTTTTAGTTGAAAAAGATAATTATCTTTAATAAATGTAAATAAATCTCAACTATTAAAAGTAAAGAGATAGATGGTTGGGATTTTGTGTAAGTGGTGTATAAGTGGATCTCTATTAATATAAATATATATGTGTGTGTGTGTTTGAGGATAATGCATACGAGTCCCTACTAAAAAAAAAATGAAAGTTCCAACCTTAAAAAATATCGTTTCATTTAATTAAAATCCAATTTACAATTCAAAAATTTATGTTATTAAATGTTAATTCTATATTTGAAAACTGAAAACTTAATTTAAAAATTAAAAATTCACCTTATTAAACATTGATATATAGATTTAGAAACTAATTATATTAGAATATAATTAATTTTTAAATTTAAATATCAATATTTAATAAGACAAATTTTTAAATTTTAAATTGACTTTTAATTAAATGAAACGATGTTGTTTAAAGTTGTGACTCTAATTTTTTTTTTTTTTTTAAGTTGAGATTTATATGCATTTAATCTATAATTATATGTATATATGTATAAAAGAAATATTATATGTACGCATTTGAGATCTACTACTTACATACTAGGGATGCTACACTCATAATGTAACATTATATTGTGTCTCATAGAAGATGACATCATATAAAATTAAATGGTTAGACACATACAATGTTATGAATTGCTCCCCTCAGTAAAAAGTGTCATAGTCATTTATATGTGGCGACATCAACAATCACTTCATATATTATGCATGATATGTGCCTAACTTTTCCCTTATATTTGTATAAGTTTTATGCAAATTATGGGTTATTAATTTCGTAAATCTAAAGGTTGAATCAATGATATTGCATTTATTAATATCTTAATAATACTAGAATTTAGAAATCAAGCTCATGATTTTTGTGAAATTCACATGCATTTGAATATATCTCGACACATAAAAAAATTCATTGCATTTTTTTATTTTTATATATATCTTAAGTTGTAAAAGTAAGATGTAATTTTTTTCTCATTCTTTAATTCATTTTACTTATATATTATATAATTTAAATTTTAAATTTTTTACTTTCACTAAAAAAAAATTATCACTAAACTATTTATTTCATTAGCAATTCATTGCATGTTCTTATTCATTGTCAAGGCTCAATTGTTTCGACCGCTCTTAATAACATACTTTATTGTATTTGTCATCGTCATTTATATTTTATATTTCGACCGCTCATAAAGGTTGGAAATGTAATTTGAACTTTTTCACTTCAAACATCTTCTCGATAAAGCAAACGAAGAAGACAAACCAACACCAAAAGTATCTTTCTAGTGCCTTGATTGCTTTCATGTTGTTAGTGTTGTGGGATCTTTTGCTTTCCAAAGATGCTTCCAACATTTTGATTGGTTAAAGCAACTTTGGGTTTGCACTCTTATTATTGCCATATTAGAGATAATTTCATTAATAAATGGGTTGTCTAACTTTTGTTTCTAGGATATATGTTAAAAATGTAATAAATGTAGTTTATTATAATTAATTTACATAAAAAAATAGAAGTTAACTTTTTATTTTAGCATCATTATTACATGGATAGTTTTAATTAACTAATTAATTAAATTTAAGTCAACTTTGATTATCTTTATATAAACTTATTGTAAAATGATGTATTTATTGCATCTTTAACTTGTGTCTTAAAGGTACAAGATAAAAATATCCTTAATTAATCAGAAAAAAAAATAATGATTAGCCTTATCAAAACTCACTTTGATCATTGTGGTTGGATGAACAAGTTACACTTGTTTAATTCAAATGGTATTACGTATTAGCTTTATTCTCACAAATTTAGAATATAGCCTTTGCTGTGTGCCCTTTGCAAATAGCCCTTACTTTGATTAATTTTCTTCTGTGCCATTGTTGTTATTTAGGCTTAGTTTTAGATGGTAAATTATCTTGAGTTTCTTTCCTTTATGTCTCTAGACTTTTGTAATAGCACACCATTCTTTATAAATAATATGTTGGGAATTTTAGCATGGACTCACAAAATTCTCTACAATGGAAGTGTGTATAGAAAAAAAAAAGAGGATGAAATATAAACACTAATTTTACATGAAAAATCATAAAATAAAGAAAAACATAAAAAAGGGGAAATTTTTCACAATTAAAAAAGACTTATAATGTTAAAAAGCCAATTTCAATCTGATCTAGAAAGTCTTAATCTTTCACAAAAACTCTCACAAATAATTTTGTGACGTCCCACCCAAACAAATAAATGAATAATAAGTGTAGGTGTGTGTGGGTGGGTGGGTTGATAAGAGGAAGAAAATGAGATGTGTGAATAGGAATAACCTCAAACTCAGAGGAGATGAGAGAGTTCACTATTCTTTTATTCATTCTTTTCTCTATTGAAGGAACCACCATCTGTCTAGAAGAAGTGGGATAGAACACCATTGTCTATATAGAGATATATTAGATTCAATAGGTAAGTTACCATTTAAACACCTATATTTTGGGTCTTTTATTATAAAAAATTGAGATTATGTAAACCAAATCAAAACTATTATGAATCAATTTATTATGGATGTTTCACCTTCTTTATCCTTTCACCTCCCCACTTTCCATGGCATTTACACACTAAGTAATGAAGTAACTTCCACTACCTCGATGCAATTATAATGGTGATCAACACCCCATAATGCCATGCATTTAGATGGTGATAATAGGATTCTTTGTAACTCCTCTATTAGTAGAAGATTAATCTTTGTAACCTCCCATTTAGTGAGTGTTTATTTCTTGTAACTTCCATCACCTATTGGCCTTATATATAAGGCTTGTACTCCCCCAAATGTATGGAGAACAAATGGAGAAGAAAATAATTAAAATATATTATATTTTTGTATTGCCTCACTTTGTCTCTCTAATTTTTCTTCTTCTAATTAATATTTTATTATTTTACAACACATTATCATCATGAGTTGTCTCTATATGAATTACTAGTCATGAATACTATTTAAGGTGATGAACAACTTGAGGTAAAGATCTAAGTTGAGGTAAGATGTTGAGGCAAAATTGTCTTTCAATTCCTAGTTTCTAATTTCAATATTTTAGGGTAACGATAGGTTTATCCAATTTATCCACACACTTCATTACACCCTTCAATTTCCATTATTTTTCGTTAATTACACTTAACTTTGTTACCATCCTCTTCATCCCTTATCTTCTTCCTCTTTTTTTTTTTTTTTTCTCTCTCTCCCTTCATCATCCTCCTCCAAGAGAACCCAGACTTGGGTTCTCTAGGAGAAACAGTCTGGGTTCTTAGAGAGCCTAGATCAGGTTCTCCAAGAGAACCGAGGTTGGGTTCTCCAAGAGAACTCAAGAGAAAAAAAGAAAAAAGGAAGAAGGTGGGAACCTGGTAAAGGGCTGGCAATTGTCTTGTAGATAATTAGGATAAGGATGGAGGTGAGGAGGAAGATGGATCTGGTAAGGACAGAAAGGGTTGGGTGAGTCGAGAGATCGTCAGTGTATATAACAAAAATTGTTAAAGTGTGTAATGGGTGGTGTCCATGAATCATCGTCCAATATTTTATGGTGCTATAACAATTTTCTTGTTTATTTTCTATTTTGCCCTTGTTAAAAAGATTTGAGTGCATTGCCCTTGATAAATTAACTTCAACTATTTGTTATGAACTCTTGATGAGAAAATTCTTTACCTTCAATGAATCTTAAATATTCAATTGTGGAAGGAAATAAAGTATCTCTTAGAGAAAGAAAATATTCTTGAAGAAAATAAAGGGCCTCCGTGAAGGATTGCAACGAAATAATATTTCTTCATTATGAAGTCTAAAAAGGACCAAGAGATGAATATTTGATGATAAATGATTCATTAGAATCACAAAATTGTTTCAAAGAAAGATGATCATCAAAAGAAAATTGCAATTCTTCCAAAAAACTAGCTATGAATGGATTCATTTATTATTCGAGTATAAATCCACAAATATTTTGAATTATCTCATGTGGGGAAAAATTGTTATTGATGAAAACATATAAGAAAAGATACATTCTTCTTTTCATGCCTCAAAAGTGATTCAAAAGTAGCAATCTTGAGAGGCTAATTTTAACATGTATGTTCAAAGTAAATACATGTCTTCTTATTGCCAACAAAATTATGAATTGATGAAAAATCATCAATCATAACCATTGGTTTTATTCCATTCCATGAAAAGAATGTGATATCATATTATATGAAGTAAATGTGATATCATATTATATGAAGTCATTATTATGACTATGGTTGTAAAATGAAATTATGGAAAATAAGTTGGCAAAGAATTTGAAAATTCTTAGATGTGACGTGAATGAACATTAGTCATATCTCTTTGATATAACCAAGCAATTCATGTGCTTATCATATATCTTCAAGTATTTGCTTGATTTGTTGCAAGCTTTACCCAATGAGATGAGAAAAGGTGCAAAAACCTTTTTATTCTTATTATGGATATACACTTATGGTATTTATAGCACACAATTTTATTTTAAACTTGGATATATTATATCTATTTTGAGAATATTGGAGAAATGTATTTTAAATGTTTGAAAAATTAAATATGCGTTCTAGTGTTGGCATTGTGAATTAAAAAGATAATTTTTTAGTTAAGTCTTCTTAATAAGAATTCATTTCCAATGAGAGAATGGGATGAATCTCATGGGTGGTCACCTAACTTTATTAAAATCAACATTTTGGTCACTCAACTTCTAATGTTAACAAAATGGTCGCCTAACTTCTTTAGTTGTCCAAGCACTAGTCACTCATAGTTAATATTAACAGAAAATGTTAATTGGGTCATTAAGCCTTAATCAATTTCTTGAGCAATGTCAATAATATCACAAGTAGAGTTGAAGAAAATAAAATACAAACCAGTGGACTTCATTAAGCCTTTCTTTTCTCCTTTTTTTTTCATCTCATTTTTGGTTTGGATGAATTGCTTGCAATACAAACTCTAGAATTGAAAAACTTGTCCAAGAAATTTTATTTTATTTTTATGAATATTAGTGTTTACTTTAAAAGCGTTTGAATTATGGATATAGATATTGTCTCAGCTGATTATATGATACTTATGTCATTTCCTTTTTTGGTGGTTAATGTCTAAATCCTATCAATTTTTTTAGCTTTTGGTTGCTATTATTATTTTTTTTCTGTATAGTTACTTTAGCACATGAAAAGCAATTTCAGTTTAATTAATGAAATGCTTAAAATTTTATAGTACCATAAGAAATTTGATTTAAATTAATGTCAATATAGCAAAATTGTTTAGTATGATTCAAGGTGGCTGAAGGTTGTCTTAGTGCTTGATTGAGGAAAAAAAAGTGGTTGGCAAATTAGAGTAAACAAGGAATAAATTCTAGGCTTTCGAAATGGTTGTTATTAAGGGTAAAAAAATTTAACCAAAATATTAGGGATTTAAATTACAATTTTCACATTTTTAGTGCCAATGAGTGCCACTTTATGTTGTTAATGCCACGTCAGATCCAACGTGGCATTTAACCTAGCCACCTTAATGGCAATTTAACATTTTTGGTTAATATTAACCTTGGGTGACTAACGCTTGGATAATTTAAGAAGTTAAGTGACCATTTTGTTAGGGTAGAAGTTGAGTGACCAGAACGTTGATTTTAATAAAGTTGGGTGACCAACCATGAGATTCATCTAAGAAAATGGGATGCAAGAATGCATCTATGAATGCATATGAATTTTATAATATTTATCATATGGGAAATTTATATCCCAAATTTTAAGATTCATATTAATCTTATCTAATATTTCTAAATATTGAGATTACATATTGATAGAGATATGTTTCGAAAAAAAGGCAACTTTATTATAGTAATGGAATTAAAGATGAAAAGTTAAAATTATATAAAGCATTGTTATCACACAATAAAGTTATAATAGTGCCCTTGTGATAAATAAAATGTGGCATACATGCACTCTTATTATGCCACATGCACTCCTATTTGAAAAATTGTGTGCTATTTTTCAATGTGTAAAAAGATGTGTCATGATGAAATATCTCAAAAAAAAAAAACATTTCCCAATGACACTGGACTTGAAGCTAATGTGATATTTCATGTTATAAGCTTAATTGAAAAATCCAAAGAGCTTGTATATTGTTTATTATTGAAAACTTTTAAAGAGTTTGAATATTGTTTATTATTAAAGAGCTCAATTTTTATTTATTGTTGAAGGCTCTTGGAAAGTTTGAATTTTGTAGCTTGGAGAAGCAAAATTTTTAAATATGTGACTAGTTATGATATCTTAGTAGATTATATTGGAATCTACTAAACTTTAATGATACAAACATATATTGGTTATCATATTGAAACCATGAATGAAAATAGCATAAAATGCCCCTTATGTTACATCTCTTTTGTGGCCAAAAGACACATATTTGAAATGCTTTGTCTTCTAAATTACATACACAAATCTAATAGGATCAAATATTGCGGCTAACCAAAAAGTCAATCCTATAATGATTTGGGCCTAAGTAACTTGGCCATCAAGTATTTTTTATGTATTGCATTCCCTTGAGAACATGATTACTAAGTCTTTTACAAATACAATTGAAATATAATCTCCTTCATTGTTATATTGGATTTAAGGAGATACATAAGCCTATGCTTAACTATTTGAAATATATTATGACATTATTATATGCTTGAATATGAAGGTGACAAAATAGTCTATTAAGAAATATGAAATATTGCTTTGAGAGTAGATCTGGCTTAATTATCCCAAAGAAGGTTGAGAGTTTATTTGGGTTGATTGTGGATCTTTTTACAACAAAATTTATTGATTATTAATCTAAAGGAATTATATTCCTAACATTAGGGGGAGAGGAATAAAAATTTGGGAAGGCAAGAGATAAACTTAAGATGCATTTTCTAAGATCCTTGAATAAGTTGATATCAATTAGAATTCCAAAATTCTATACTATCAATTGATGAATGCATCTATCGATAAAATGAAAGTAATACATCATATATCTAAGTTTTAAGTACTCTTGCTTCTAAAGTTAAAATATTAGTAAATAAGTATATTATGTGAACGTTAAAAGCGTGTTAGAACAACTGGTTTTAAGGATAAGAATCCAAAAATAAAGAAAAAGTAGAATATTAGTATTGTTGAAATTATAAAATTCTTAAAGAGTTATTGAGGAAATAACTCTAAGAAAGGGTTCAGATATGTGAAAATGATGTAAATGTTGAAATTATATACAACGATGAGATCTTTATAGTTCTCCTAAAAGAGGATAGAACTGAAATGAAATTATTATTGATAAGAAATTCTTACATATGTAATAATGATAGATATAGTTAATGAAAATAAAGATCTTGGATCAAATTCATTAAAAATTGTTGGCAAATAAATGATTGGCCAATATGAAAAGAGATACTCTAAGTAGAATTAAAATCATGATAGTTATGTGATTGTCACGCCTCATAACCCAAATCCAAGGGCGAAACAGATGCCTTACACTTGTGAGAGGATTCCACAAATGCACAAGGCCGTATACTTGTGAAAGGATCCCACAAATGCACAAGGCTTGGAACTTATTAAATTCATAACTATAATCCATGGAACAATTTTGCAAAAATTTGAAATTTAAAATTTATTCTGCAAACCTAATTACAAATAAGCTAAGTCCAAATATATGTGGCTAGTCTAACTCCAAGATAATCTAAGTCTGAAACACAAATGGCTAGCCTTCTAGCTCATCACTCTCCCCAGTTTTCCCATGTCTTTGGTTTTAGTACCTGAAATGGTGGATGAGGAAAAACTCTATGAGATAAGTCAATAAGTAAAATACGGATAGCCCGTGAGTAAAATTTAAGTATGCTTGATAAACAATTTAACATAACAAAACGTTCAATGATAAATCGTTAATGCAAAATAAGATTCAGTAGTAGTCTCATCTATAAGTCATGGCCAGTGTTTAACAAACTCCCATTGGCAGGCGTCAGTAATAACCAATGTATTATCCCATTGGTAGGATTACAGAATGAACTAGTCCTATCGATATGCATGTCGGTATGCATGTCGACATGTGCAAGCATTTGCAAACTCCCACTAGCAGGTGTCAGTGGTCATAACTATATTAGAGACAAAACTATGCAGAATTTACTGGAAAAATCCGTAATTCACAATCAATCTCAAATTTCAAGAATAAATTGGAAAAATTCCATGTTAGCATGCTCAACCCCAAAAATAATAAAAATTTTCATTTCCATTTTAATCATGCTCAGGTGTTAATAAAATCAATTTAAACCTTGCCACCATTTCAAAAACAATTTAAAATATGCTTTTACTTTGCAATCAAAGGGCGTTACCTTAATTTACTTACCTCTTCTTGTAAACTTACAACAGCAAGTATTCAAGGTTTCAAGGAGATGGTGGTGACTTAGAACCTATTTCATAATCAAGAACAACAAGATCACAACATGCCTCATTCAACTAAAATTGATCTTTAATTCTAGGACCAAGTTCTATCCCAAAGGAACAATTTCTCCCTATCTCCTCTTGCCATTCTATCCACCAAAACCTTATTAACTTATATATATATATATATATATATATAATTCACACGCATAGTCATATATAAATTTCCAAAGATAACAGTTGACCTACCAAACATTTTCGGCAAGGAGCAGCAAAACTTGGCAAATGGCAGAAAAATTTTGGGGAAAAAACAATGCCGACAATAGCAAGGAAAAATGCAGCAAAATGCATACTTTTTTTTTGGGGGAAAATACAGAATTTTCTGGTTTAAAAACAGTGCAGAAAACAGTTGGGGAATGTAGCAAAATGCAGAAGCAAAAGCAGTCAAGATTGCAGAAACATGCAGTAGAAAAACAGGTTACAGAAAATGCAGCAAAACAGATTGCAGAAAACTATTGCAGAAAAATAGATTGTAGAAAAGTACAGAAAAAAGACAGGTTGCAGAAAATGTAGCAAAAACAGCATAATTTTTCTACGTGAACAGTAAAATTTCATGGCAAAAACAGTAGGGGAATCTAAGCAGAATAGCAGCTAAACACTAAACAAACAGTGTCACAATCTTTCAAAAAGATAAGAAACAGAATACCCATAAATCCTATGCATTTCCCCCAAATCTAAATGGTCAATATTCAACTAAATCTACCAAAATTAGAGAAAAAACAAGATTGGTTTCATGCTCAATTTTACCAAAAAATTGTGAGTGAGAGAGGTGATTCCTCCTAAAATGGAAGCCCAAAAGGCAGAGATAGCCATAACTTGAGGGGGGCTAGCATCTGCTTGCCGAAAAGGGAAACCCAAGGTTGTTGAAGGCAACACGCGACTGCGGTGGAGTGGGGAACATTGAGCTGCTACTTAGGGGATTTATGAGATGTGGGTGAGAGGATTTGGAGGAGCACGATTGGTGACAGAGAGTTGAAGGATGAAGGATGGTGGTGACGAACTGAGGATGGTGGGGGGATGAGGTAGGGTTTCAAAACAAGAAGAAAAAAGAAGAATGGGGGAAATCGAGAGTTTATACTCCAGAAACTCGCACCCTTTTTTTTTTTACTACACCCCCTTTAAGTTTGAAATTTGTGACCATTAGGCCTTGCAAAAGATAGTTTCTCCCACATAAATCCATAACTTAAATTCTAAGGTCTTAGAAAAATTTGGGATATTACAATGATGTTTTTGAATCAGTATTTCAAATATATAATGAAATAGTATCTATTAAATTTACTTAAATGAGAAGCCAACAAATTTTCTTTACAAAATTATTGGCTTCTAGAACTTTAAACAGCTAAGATACTAAATTAGCATAAATTGCTTAATTATAAACATATATTGAATTTAGGGGGAGTATTATACACACTGTACTTTTTTTTTTTGTAATATCCCAAAATTTTCTAGAACATTAAAGTGTGCATAGGGACCTAATTGTGAGGAAGTATTATTAATGAACTTAATAGTATATTTTTTTAAAGTTCAGGGACTTAAAAGAGGAAAAATTCTGGATAAGGATCAAGCTTAGATTTTCTTTCTTTTCTTCCTCATCACACGCGTGTTTGCTCTGTCCTTCTTCTCCTCTACCTCCCGAAAGCTTTCCCCCCAAAGCCGCTGAAGCTTCCCCCTTGAGAACCGGTAAAGAGCTTGAGTTTTCCTTTCCTTTCTTGATGGAGAACAAGGTTTAAACCCAGAAATTTCCTCCCAGCCACTTGCACGTTCTGCTCTTCTTCTTCCTCGCCCCTGCAACCCGAAAAAGAAGCCAGCCGCCAGCGACATCTACCTTGAGAAAATTGGTAAAGCTTGGTGATTTTTCTCTTCCTTCTTGTTCAAGAACAAGCTTTAGGATTTAGAACCCTCCCTCTAAAGCCAGAAAATTCAGATCTGTGGTTGCTTCTTCTTCCTCTGCTTCGGGTTACTGCTGGGTGGTTTGGGAGTCCGGTTTTGGTAAGAAATAACTAAGAAATCATCTTTTAGCCTTGATTTGGCTTGGGTTACTCTAATTTCTATTTTTGGTTCTTGAATTGTTGGTAGTCCGCGAGTTTCCCCCTCCAATTTCCGTTAGCCCTTTCCCCGCCAGGTCCGATTCTGCTAGCTGGAATTCTGGTATGGATAGCTCCTCCAAGTTAAATTTATCAATTAATTGTTGCTTGTTTTGTTGAATTTATCCATATAGTGGCTGCCCTTGCATTGTCCAAAAATCTGTTGAAAAATGGGGATGAATTCTGGTAGTAATTAGAGCATAGTTAAGCTTAATTCATGTATAAATTGCTTGAGTTGACTGCAAATTCAATTTTGGAAGTTGCAGTTAGCGTTCACGCACTGATGGCCAATAATTAACGGGGATTAAATGTTTAGTTTGTAATATAAGAACAGATTTAGAGATGTCCGGTCATGTGGAGACTGATAGAAATAGCATCGTGATTAGGGGTAGTCTTAATGATGATTTCACTTTGAATTTGTGATAGTACGGTGTTAATTCTGGGGTATTTTGATTAGGTTCTTGAGTGTTCTGTCACGCAAGCACTTGGATTGAGTCTTCAGTTTATGCGAGTGAGGTAAGTAAAATTCTAGTAATGCCCGTACAGTTTTTAAAAGCACGTTTTGACTTGTTTTTGAAGTGGTGGCGGGACTAAACCCGTTTTTTACAAAAATGAGCATGATTGATTTGAAATAAGATTATTATTCTTTTTACCGATTTGAAGTGAGATTTTTATGCTTTTCATTAAATTGAGCATGCCTACTTGAAATTTAATTAATTGTCCTGATGATCTAAAAGTGATTGGTGAATTATGATTTTTCTGTTAACTTCTGCTTGTTTTGTCTCCGATGTGGTCATGTTATTAGTGACCCTGCTAGTGGGGGTTTATAAACGCTAGCACATGTCGACATGTTATTGATAGAATCGGTTCGTTCGAGTGATCCTGCTAGTGGGGGTTATACACCAGCAAATAGTGCGCCTGCTAGTGGGTGGTTTATAACACTGGCCATGACCTTTAGAGGAGACGTCTATTTCGTTCCCGTACTGTATCCGTTTTTTGTGATTACACTTGTTGGCACGCTATAAGTTTAATAAGGGGCACTCCATATTTACGTACTGAGTTTATCTCATAGTTTTTCCTTGTCCACCATTTCAGGAAGCGAAACCGAGAACGGGGAAACCACGGAAAGTGACGAGTTAGAAGGCTAGCCATTTCGAGATTGATATAGATTTTAGAAATAAATCATGTTTTTGTAAGATAGATTTTACCTTGCATTTATGAGATCAAATAGATTTCGGTCATTAGATCAATTGCTTGGATTTAAGTCATTTTGGATATAGAAATAAATTGAGATGTTTGATTTAAGTTATGGAGTGGTATCAGATTGTGATATGATTAAGTTCCGAGCCTTGTGCATTTGTGGGACCCGCCTCACGAGTGCATGGCGTTTGTCGTGTCTCGGATTTAGGTTCTAGGGCATGACATTTTCTTTTGCTAAGGTTTTTTTCCCATTGGGTTTTTTTGGCAAGGTTTTTAATGATGTAGTTTAACAAGTGTATAATAAAAGGTGAATTTCCAAGGGGGAGTGTTTTGAATCAATTCATGGTGGATGTTTTCACCTTCTTCATCCTCTCATCTCCCTAGTTTCCATGGCATTTACACAACAAATAAAGGTATAACTTCTACTACTTCCAGGCAATGACAATGGTGATTAACACCCCCATGATGCCATGCATTTAGACGGTGATAATGAGATTCCTTGTAACTTCTCTATTAGTAGGAGATTAATTCTTATAACCTCCCATTTAGTAGAGTGTTTATTTCTTATAACTCCTAGCATCTATTGGCCCTATATATAGGGCTTGTACTCTTGCAAATGTATGGTGAACAAATGGAGAAAAAAGCAATAAAAATATATTATATCTTTGCGTTACCTTATTTTATTCTCTAATTTTTCTTCTTCTTCTAATTGATTCTTTTTTTATTTTACAATAAAAAGTTCATTTTATACCATAATTTCACATTATTATTATTATTATTTATTTATTTTTTAGGCTTCAGTATTTTCAATTTCCTGTTCTATCAAAACGAACCTAAGGAGCTATCTCATCTTTTCGGAATTCATTTCTTAAAAAAAGAAAAAAAAGCATCCAACACAATTCGCATCCATTCATTCCTTTTTTTCTTCAAATTCTTTTTATTTATCTTTGTTTCTTCAATCAGTTGATTCTAACTTTGGAGCAATATTATTGTCACACTCTTAATTACTAATGTCATATTTTTTAATCATAATTGACCATTATATCTTTTAATTTATTTAAGACACAAAAAAAATGTAGAATTTTGAGAAAAAAATCTAATTGAAAGGTATAGTAATCAATTATATTAAAAGGGTGTGGCAATAATAATCTCCCAATTTTCAATCTAAGACTACTTATTAAAAAAAAAATAGTGACTATGGTCATTCTACTAGACTTAGACAAGGGACCGATTACATTATCATAACGCAACCAAAACTAAAGTAGTGACAAGGAAATCAACAAGACCAAGAAAAGTTTGAGTTTCAAACAATGAAGTGGTGGAGTTCAATTATGGTTCAAGGAGAGGTGGTAATTCCTCCTTGGATCACACCTAGATTGAATATTGATTTTCTTGAGTGGTGTCACCAACATGTTATATTCAAATAAGTGCTTGCGCATGTTAGTGCCTTCAACCATCTTGCACTGATATAACTCCATCTCTAAGTAAAGATGATTACTTAAAGATTTGGAAGTATAAATGTCTTCATGCTTTTCCCACATACCTCTTGGAGTAGTTTCACTAAGGACATTATACTTCACTTTGAGTGCAAGGGCTAACCAAGGGCTAATCAAATTTGACTTGCCACCTTTTTTGAATGTTACTTCGCTTCTTATCCGCCACATCAACAAGCTTAGTCTCTTCCAAAGCAATATCAAATCCTTGACATATAATAGCATCCTTTACAATGCTTTGTCAAAGACCAAAGTCCTTTCCATCGGACAACTCGATAGGATACTTCATTGAATATATGATTTCATCTTTTCGGTGTCAAGATTATCTCACCAGTTCTCTAAAACCAATTGTTGGGAATTTAGCACAACTCACAAAATTGTCTACAACGAAAGCACACATGAAAAAGTAAAAGATAAAGTATGAACACACCAATTTTAAGTGGAAAACCTTAAAATAGGGAAAACAATGGAGAAGAAGAGAAAAATTCCACTATTAAAAAAGAGTTACAAAATTAGAAGCACCAATCTCAATTTTCTCTATAAACTTTAATCTCTCACAAAACTCTCACTTAATCTTTCACAAAGAAATTTTCCCTCTCATGCCTAGAAGCTCTCAATAACTTCTGAAAAACTTTCTTAAAATCTCTCTCTCACCACTTTAGATTTGCTAACATTATATATTTATGGTAGGTACAAGTTATTGGAGTTTGGTTTAGAGCAGAAAAACCTAGTTTTACTTGATCGTGGAAACCCAAAGAAAATAAGAAACTTTTATTCTTTCCTCGCAATTCTTCTAGAACCCTCTGGATAGGTTCTGGAACCCCAAAAGTTTTTGATCCTCCGCTCCTTTGATTTCTTTAGCAGGCTTCCAGAATCCTAGAGCAAGGTTCCAGGACCTTAAGGTTTTCCGCAACTTCGTTAATTAAAGGCATAATCCCATTCTAACATATTAGCTAGGATTCTTGAGCAACAGCATGTAACTTGCCTTTATATATATATATATATGCACACACGAAAAAGTGTTTTACAATTCATACGATAAAATAATATTAACTATCATATATTAATAAGATTCTCTTAATCTAGGGCAGGCCTTCTTAGTCTGATTGCTGGTGTTTTATATTTTAATGTAGTTTAAATTATAAAATATCAAATATATATACACAAAAAAAGTGTGTATCAATTTTAACTTCTGAAAAAATTAAAATCTTAATTTTAAAATATCACATTTTAATTACTATTTAATTTTAAAACATCACCTTTTAATTATTATTTTGAAAAATTAATCATTGGATCAAATATTTTATTTACATAGAACATATAAGAAAATTTTCGGATTGATTTATTAAGCATAAGCTTTTCTTCATATTCCAAAAACCTGGATCATAATCGACTATAGCATTCTTCTCTAAACTCGAGTGTTTAACGGAAAAGTGATGTCAGCTGATGTCATTGGTAAAATTTGGGCAGACTTCCACAATTCCGGAAGTTGAGGGGTGGATATAAAATTCTATAGATTGAGTGTTAGTTACCTACTTTTTTATACACTTTACATTTCATTAAACTCAAGATTGATTTAAATGCATTTCATTAAATTAACTTTCGAGTTCTTCATTGAAAAACAAAACCATATATTGATTTCATAAAAAGTTAACTACTGATTTAAAATATGACGAAATTAAGTAAAGCTGAGTCGACACAATAGGATTAGCAAGTGTGAAATTAGCAAGTGTGAAATGAGGGAGGTTAAATCTCCATTTTTGTCCTTTTATTTTAGTTAAAAGTCTCTTTTTAATCTTTCTATTTAAAAAAACTTCTTTTTGATCCCTAAAATTTAAAATTTGGCCTCTTTTTAGTTTTTTTTGTTAAGTTTTGCATGCATAATAAGTTAGATAACAGAAATTTTAAACTAGAGAAACCAAAAAGAGGTTAAATATGAGCTAAAAATAACTCAAATTTGGTCTTTCTACTTTAAAAAAAGCTCTTTTTTGGTCCTTCTCTTTTAAAATTCTGTCATTTAATGTCAAAACTTAATAGAAAGACTAAAAGAATTGGATTTCAAACTTTAGAAACCAAAAAGAAATTTTTTAAAGTAGAGGGATTAAAAAGAGATTTTTTGTCAAAATAGAGGGACCAAATTAAGATTTTAACCTGATGAATGAAAGAAACCAATGTTTTATTTCTTTCTTAGTTGTAGGGGTACTGGCAGTCACCAGAAGTAGTGCATATTAGTTCCAATCATGATAAGCAACACAACTTGTTGGGGACACAACTTGTTGGGGCAGTTGACTCTATTTTTTCGTGTCCCACTAAATATGGACACAAACCAAACCACATCATTCCTTTATCTGCCAGTCATTTTCTTTATCTTAACATTTGCATATTTTCATTAAACCCTCCTATCAATGCCCCAAAGTTCTCTTTGGCAATCATTCACTCTCCTTAGCTTTGGAATATCTACCGAACTGATCAAATCCCTTAGAAAAGGTTTTCGTTCTCGTCCGATGTTCAGAATTCTGTAACGTGCGGAAGCTCCACTCCATACCGTGTCAAGTTAAATGCCATCATGAGCTG